TGCATCTCGGAGGCATGCACGCTTATAACGAACCGGATTTGTACTCAGGTGTTTCCACATAGGCATCTTCAACTTGACTTCATCAGAAATTGACAGGCCCGTGAATTTTAAACTGTATTTTCGGGCTGCCAAGATCATTCGTTTGATATCTTCGCCAGACGAAATTTAGTAATTTGGGATCCCGAACAGGGCCTTACGCTTTTTCTCAGAGGCAAAAATTTGAACCCGAACTCAACACCGGACGCCCAGATCTCTTCAGCACGAAGCAGAATGGGGACAAAAAAGCAACGCGCAGTACCTATCGGACAGCGCAGGAGCGGAGTAAGATCAGATTCGCCGTACGTATATACCTACTCGCAAGCACGACAGCGTAGGCAAAGACGCGACATCTGAGCGCGAAACAGAAACAGAAACAGAAAATAAGTAACGCGCGCAGTACATATCGGACAAATAGTAGCGCAATAGCGGAAGTGTACTAGTAAGATCAGATCAGAGCGCCCGTGGTAGTGTACCCACACTGCTGCGTAATCGCGACACAACACAAGAAGCGTGCGTATCGAGTGTAGGTAGGGCCGTAGTCGAACAGACATATGTAAGTAAGCGGAGCACAAAAAGAGAACAAAAAACTAATGAAGGCGGAGTCCGTGAGGTAGAGGAGGATGAAGAGAGAATAAGGTGAACTATAAACAGGCAAGAGTTCGTTCGTAGGTAAGTGAATGAGGCGAGGTGAGGAGATACATGAGTCAGTAGGAGATAGATAGATAGCGTGGGGTAACGAGTGTGGGTGGGTAACGGCGCGAGGGCGGGAGGGTGGATATCTTTTGGAGGGCGGTATAGTTGTGGCACGGTGGTGATGGCAACAGAGGCGATAAATAGCAGAGGGAGGGAGGTAGAGAGGCAGATACAACACGACGGCGACGGGCGCCGGAACCATCCAGAGAGAAATGCACGTCGGTCGGGAGAAGTCTACTCGTTTGCCACCTGCGGGGAAGGGACGTTAGTCGCGGGTTACGAAAGGCGGGAGGGGAGCGCGGAAGGTAAGTGGAAGAGAAGACGGGGATGAATGAGGAAGGGAGGCATGGAAGGGACGCGACGAAAGCAGAACAAGGACCAAAAACCCACCTTAAGTACCCTCCGCCCATCGCCCTCCTCCTCCCGATCGCTCTCCTCATCCTCCATCCCGCCCACATGCCCATGCATGCTCTCCATCCCGCCATACGCGCCCGGCGCGTCGTCCACCACATGCGTCTGGTACTGATTCACATACCCGTCCGCATACTGCGGCACGCCCTTCCCGCCCGCCGCGCCGCCGTTCGCCCCGGGAGCTGGCGAGCTCCCATACGAGTCCACCAGACTCCGCGCCCCGCTCTTACTCCTCCCTAATACATCCGAGCCCGACGAGTGCGCCGTCGTCGCCGTGGGCGGGTACCCCGCCGCCGCCGCGTCCTCGTACGCGTACCCGGGCTGCGTCCCGGGCTGCCCCCACTCGCCCATCTGCCCCTGCTGCGGCTGCGCGTGCGCCCCGTGCGGGTACCCCGTCATCTCGTACGCGCCCGCGCCCATCCCCATCCCCATCCCCATCCCCATCGCGCCCGCCTCGCCCACCCCGCCGTACCCGCCGCCCGCGCCAAAGCCCGCGTACTGCCCCTCCGGCAGCGGCGGCTGCGCGTACGTCCCGTGGCTGCTCACGTCGCTGAACCCGAGGTCCGAGTAGCCGGACGGGTACATGTAGTTCGACGGCGTGCCCCCGCCGCTCGGGTTGCTGTGCACGCCGCTGCTGAGCGCGTGCTCTGACACGGGGTACGCCGAGGCGGTGCCGTCCGATGCGGGGTCGTGCGCGAGGTAGCCGTCGCCCGGGTGCGTGGCGTACGGGTCGCCGCCGTGCGCGCCGTACGAGTCGTTTCCGTATCCCTGGAGGAAAGCGGGTGGAGGTTAGTAAAGGCGCGGAGATAGAGAGAAGATGCAATAGAATGGAATCATCGCCCGCCTTGCGAGGGAAATAGCTCCCAAATCAAGTGCGTTCGCCATGCCCACGCGACGCCCTGCACCCGCCCTCGCGAGTCCCTGAGCATCGTCCCTTTCCGCCGCCATGACATGAGCATCACCGTGTCCACAGGGACGACTCCGTTCCTTCGCCCGTCCCCGCAAGAGAACCAAGAAAACGGTGGGTATGGTGACCTCTGCACGCCAGGTCCTTGTCGACGAACCCCACGCCGACCGCTATCCTCCAGCGTACACACACTCCGGAGCGTGCTATCATCGGCGCGAGTACACCCCCTCTGCACCTGCGGACCGTGCCGTTGCCCAGGACAAGCGCACGCCTTCCAGACGCGAATACCGAAAACGGCACGCGCCCGTCGACGGGCCTCATAGCTCGGCGGCGCAGAGCAGCCGGGTCGACACAGGCGCTCCCTCCCTTCACGATCATCCTCCTCGCACACCGTGCCAGCGCGGGGTCTACAATCTTCCTCCCTAAGTAGCAAGGGGTGCAGACGCCTGCGTGATGGGCGTGCGCAAACGCGAGAAGGGCTCCCGGACGCGCTCGCTCCCCATCGCGCGCCCAGACCACACGACATCGCATCTTCGCACACAGGCGAGGCCGCCCGACACCGGGCTCCCCGCACGCCGTCTCCCGCCCCCAACACCAACCCGTCCTTCAACACCCACCCACCCGCAGAAAGAAAAAGAAGGAATCGAAGAGAGAGAGAGAGAGAGAGAAACGCACCCCATACCCCTCCCCATACTCGTCGTCGTCCACAAAGACGGGCGCGGGCGCGCGCTTAGCCTCCTCCGCGATCTCGCGCTCGAAGCGCTTCGCCTGAAAGGGGTGCGTTAGTAAGAGTTGGGTAAATGAGGCCGGTGAATATGCGAGAGGAAGCCCAAGAAGTCCTCCGCGGCGAAACGCCGCTCAAGGCACGCGGCGGACAGTCCCCCGCGTGCGACCGCCCGCCGGAGGGAAGGACGTAGGCGGCAGCGGCGAAACCACCGCCGCGAAGCGAGAGGATCTTACGCAGCAGCGCTCTACCGCGCCGCCACCCAGATACATGGCGGAGCGAGTCAAAGGCAGGTCCTCCGCGCGACGACATACGCGCGCAGGCATACCCACGCTGTGCGCGCCCTCGAGGACGTACGGCTGTCGCCCACCCCGCGCGCCACCGCGCACACAAACCCCACACGCACGCGGGACGATGCGGTACCCCGTCGGGATGCTGCGGCGGACGCTGCTCTTCCTCTCGCCGAGATGCCCCCACCCCGTCCCCTCCCAAAAACTCCACCTCCATAACAAAAAGAGGAAGGAAAAAGGAACGCACCTTTCGCTTCCGCACCGCATTCGTGATCAGCGCAAACAGGAGGCCCGCGACGACGAGGCCGACGATCGCGAACACCGCGCCGACGGCGGCTTTGTTTTGGAGGAATCTGGGAGGGGGGTGAGTGGTTGGGTTGGTAGGGAGTTGAGGGAGATGGGATGGAGGGTAGAGAGAGAGAAGGAGACGTGCGGTATGTGTGAGGAGGGGAGGAGCGGATAGGGATGAGATGAGAGGCGGAAAAGGAACGGGAGGGTGCGGGGAGGGAGGGAGTGGGATGCGAAAGAAAAAGAAAAAGAAAAAAGGCGGGGAGATGAAGGGAAAGGCGATAGTCAAGGGAGTACGAATGAAAAAAGGCGGGGGCAAGGGAAGGGAGACGACAGCGGGGGCCACGGACTGAGTACGAAAGGAAGTGGGGACGAGAAGGGGTTATGGATGGGTTATGGATGGGTAATGAACAGTGTGGCGGACGGCGGACGGTGCGATTGATAGGGCGGGGCGCGAGAGTAGAAGGACGGGGTAACGGAACGGGGCGTCTCGCCGAGGGAGGGGGCACACGACCTCCGCCCTTTCCCTTCGTCCTCCCACGCCCCGCTTTCCACCCTCCCCAGCCGCACCCGGTACCGACGTTCCACCGTTGGCTAGGGGCCGCCTGCAAGATACCCACGGACATGTGAATGTGATTCCATCACCATCGGGAAAAAAAATGACAGATGGGAGACGAGGGGTGGGAGGGAGATGCGAAGGAGGGGTGATGGGATCGGGTGAGGAGAACGGGGTGGATGAAAGTCGGAGGGAGGGCGAAAATGCGGGACAAAAATGACAGCAACGGAACGGCGTTCGGAACGAACCACATAAAGGAACGGAACGAATTTGAAGGAGCCGGGAAGCACGCACCCCTTACTCGAGCTCGCGGCGGCGCTCCCGCTCGCGCTCGCAACCCCATTCGTCTGCGTCACCGGCACCGTGTGAGTGAGCGTCACCACCCCGCCGTCCGCGCCCGTCGACGTCTGCACGCTGACACTGTTGCTCGTCGTCACCTGGCTCGCCGCCGACGCCGTGCTGGTCGCGGAGGTCGCTGAGGTCGGCGCGGAGCTCGTCGCCGAGGAGGACGATGTCGGCGGGGAGGACGCGGCGGAGGTGGTGGTGGTGCTGCTCAGGGCAGAGGTGGTTGTGGTTGTGGTGGAGGAGGTGGTTGTACCGGAGGACGTGGTCGTTGTGGAGGAGCTGGAGGGGGACGCCGAGGAGGTGGTGGGGTCAGTGCCAGTCGAGGAGGCCAGGGCCGACGTTCCTCTACGCTATCCGTTACATCTTAATTCCTGCTCTCAGCAGAACTACGCACGATGGTTCAGCTACCACCACATCTTTTCTCAGCACCCATTCTCCGAGTCACACAATAAAGCACGCACCCATTTCAAGTTTCAGCTAGTTTTTTGTGGGCTTGGGGGTCGTGTTACATGCAGTTGTTGGGTAAGGAGCGTGTGCAGGCTCGAAATAGAGCGGAGATGGGCGTGAGGCTTGGAGTAAAGCTCCAATCAGGATGATAGCTGACAAAGCGGGGTGGGAACCGTTTCATATTCCCCGGATCAGCACGGCGACAACACCCGGAATTCAACCGCAACATCGAAGGAAAAGGCATCGGAAAAAAATGGAAGGAGATACGTGAGAATCAGATAAAATGAGACTAACGGCGCATGACCTGGCCCGGAATCGAACCGGGACCTCCCACTGGAAATTTCTCTTGAGACCCACTTTAAAGGAAGTGGGTGTGCACCATGCACCACCAAGTCTTGTCCCACCATCCTCGAACCAGGCTTTATCCAGTAGTTTTGAGGATATACGTTTGCATCCACCAATTCGTCTCAAATCTGTAACAATATCATCAATATAAAGCCGAAAATCTGGCGCTGAAATGCTGTCTGTCATCAAGCCCAGTCTGCCAAGTACTGGCGAGCACTTACTTTTCTGGTGTTGGACACTCAGAGTTACGAAATAAATAAAAATAACCAGCGCTACACAGGGATGACCTGACCCGGATTCGAACCGGGATGGAAATTTCCGCCACCGCAAGTATAGTGAGTATGCACCGTGCACCTCCAGGTCTTCTTCCTGTTCATTTGAGGTATAGTTTATCCTGCAGTTTAATAGCTTAAGTGAGTTCTAATGTACCTTGGGAGTCAAATTTCTCACATCCCAGGCTCCGTATGCCCACTCTTGAGGGGAAAAATTCTACCAGAGAAATCAAATACTTCTTTCTCTGAAGTTGGACAATCTGAATAACGAATCAAAAAAGAAAAGAAAAACCCCTATGGATATCAACGACCCGGATTCGAACCGGGACTTCCCACAGCAGATTTGCGCCACCGCAAGTATAGTGGGTACGCGCCATTCACCTCCAGGTCCTATCCCATTATCCTGGAACCAGGCTTTATCCAGTAGTTTTAAGGATATACTTTGAGATCCACCAATTCATCTCAAATCAATATCAATATCAATAGAGCCGAAAATCTTGTGCATCTGTCATCAAGTCCATTGTGAATTGATTAAAATATGGATGAATCTGAAGGCCTCCGGCCAATGGGGCAACAAAATTAAAATTAGAATCAGAGGAGAGAGCAAGAAAGGAAATTTGAAAAAAGAAAAGCCATGTATGACCTGGCCCCGAATCAAACAGGGACTCCCACAGATATGCATTGAGGATACATACAGTATGTAGGTGTGCACCATCCACCTCCAGGTCATCTTCACCTGCCCTGAGATATATCCTGGAGTTTTAAAACCACTTCTAAGGCACCTCTGTCAATTTCTCACATCTCAGGCCCATATCTCATCTGTACTTTTGTCCACTCTTGAAGGATAAGATAAGATGAAACGAGAGAAATCAAGTCCTTCTTTCTCTGAAGTCGGACAATCAGAATAACGAATCAAGCAAGAAAAAGAAATACCTCAGAGCTATCGACCAATAACCTGGCCCGGGATCGAACCGGACTTCCCACTGTATATGCAGGCCCTGAGCAACAAGTATAGGGGGTGTGCACCTTGCACCTCCAGGTCTTCTTCCCCTTCATCTGTGCTGGGGCTTATCCTGTGGTTTAAAAGTGCCTGTGTTGATTTCCCGCATTCATCTATGTCTTAGTCCGTATTGAACTGAGACTTCCCACCAACTCTTGTGTCAACACAGGGAGAGTGGGTGTTCACCATGCATCTCCAGGTCTTCTTACTCACATTGTGAACCAGCATCTATGCTGGCGTTCAGAAGCCATATTTTGTCCTATCCTCTGTTTGACACTGCCATTCAAATATTTTCACGGTCGTCTGCACAAATTCTCGAAGATTGAGCAGTCCATTCTCTGATGCAAGGAAGGGACAATGGATTCATTGCATTCAAAAGGAAAAATGTGCAAGGACAGATAGATGACCTGGCCCGGAGTCGAACCAAGGCCACATCATTACTACAAACTTGGAGAGTGAGTACGTACCGTGCACCTCCAAGTCCCCTCACTCATGAACCAGGTTTTATGCTAGAGTTTAAGAATCCCACTTTGGTCCATTCTCTGCTTGATGTTAGAGTTCAAACATATCCATGGTTATTTGCAAAAACAAGAGCACCCCATTCTCTCAAGACAAGAATTCATTGGATGTAAAAGGGGGAAAGAAAAAAAAGGATGAGGCTAGAGGAATGACCTAGCCCGGAGTTGAACCGGGGTCTCCCAGTGTTACATTGATTTAGTAGTGAAACGTGAGCGGGTGTGCACCATGCACCTCCAAGTCTCATACCACATCCCACGTACCCAGGTTTACCCTCGTGCCTGGGAGGCAGAGGTTCAAGTATTTGACCATTAGATTGTTCAATGCAGAGAGAAATGCAGAGCGTGGTGGGCCACCGAGGTGAATTTAACCGGAGGATGATAAATGAAAGTATGGATTGGGGCCGAAAGAAAGATTCAAAGACAGGTAGAGCAAAAACCATCCACATCAAATCCGCATTCAGATTTTATGTCCCAGCCCCAAATCGAATGTGTACTCATCAGAGACACTGGTTGAATGATTCAAATTTTTGAGTGAAAGAGATGATGAAAAATGTTATTAATTTTTTCAGCTATTTTTTTACTGAGAAAGTGTAAGACACTTTAACAAACCAAGGTGAAATTTTTGAAATAAATTCTGAAAATCAAGATGAACTCTGGTTGAGGGCAGACCCAGAGCAGTGAAGGATTGTATAGAATCACGGGACCTAGAAAATGAAATTATTTCCAGCACAACACTGGGAAGATGAGCTTGAACAAAGGCAGTGGAAACTAGGGTGGTTGAGCCAAGAGACCACACTTTCATTATCTATGTATAGTGGATCATGCGGGATCATGCGACGTAGCAAAAGTGGGCTGCTGGGAACAAGAACGACTCAGATTAGTGCTCGGCTAGTCGACGGAGCCGAGCCGAGCCAGCCGTTCACACGGTGGCCGATGGCTTGGCTCCGGCTTGAGCTGTGGCTTGAATCGGCTTCAACCAGATTTATTTAAGGGTCATATAGATCCTTCTGTGCGACATCTGGAGCTTATATCTCCTCATAAGCACTATATACACCGGTCCCCTTGTTTACTGCCCCAGCACTGACCAAGCACTGACCTCTTTTGCTTCCCGGCAACCATTGACAGCTTGTGTGAACAAAGCAAATGTTCAATCATGGTTTCTGGGTCGATGCAAGGTAGTACTATTTTGCCCAACGGGTCTGGATTTGCACAATGGGTCTGGATTTCTTTTTTCTCTCCCGTTGATAAGCCGCAAAATTTGCGAAACCTCAAATTTTACGAATGCATGACATTCAGCGCTCATCCAGAGGTTGGTGTAAGCTCCAAACGTGCAACCCAGAGCCATATTGCATTATCATCTTAAACTGGCAATAACAGCCTATTCCTGGAAACTTCACCCTTGGGACACTTGGGGGTTGGATCCGGATTAAGGCTCAAAACCCATACATCAAAGTCCTGAAACACCCTCTATACGTGGGAAGGCAAAGCAATGCTCACTATCAAAGGGAGAATCATATTATCCACCTCTGGCATTTATTGGCACGCTGGGAACCTTATTCGGGAGGGAAACACCTAGTTGTTTACACGACTTTGGCTTACCCGACGCGACGCGATGGGTCACCTGATCAAGGCCTGGACCTACAATTATTACTCCTATACACCGGATCCGCGACAGCGCGATCACCAGATAAGCCGCAGGCCAGATTAAGCTTGTACTGCATGTTTCTGGATACCGATTAAGGGCATCTGGGGTATCATTGGAAAGGTATTAAACCATACAATCCAGTCAACGATACTAGAAGTTGAGGCATCTACCACAGAGGAAGATATGAGTCAATTATCCTATTCAGGGGACTAATTACACATATAATCCCCTGATCGACAGGAGTCATTAGACGAACATATAGGGGGCTCAAGTAGCGAATAGGAGTGCCAGAACGCGCTCCACTGATACCGATTTCAGGCTAATTAATTAAGTAGAATACCCGAAGCCTAGTAATCACGCACATGTAATAGTTTTTGTACAGTATATAAGGAGGGCAGAACCAGGGAGGACGGCACTGAACCAGACCCCAGAAAGTGAGGAGCAATACAGCCCTTGCGTACGGAGTTGAAGTTTAGGCTTGAATCTTTGGCTGTCAATTAGTCTCAGAATTTAAGTTCGGTTTTGGAATAGCATCAGTGAGATTTATAAGTGTCAGTTACGGGGCGTGAGCCATACCAAGTTCGAGGCGTGAGCCATTGTGTGTGTTTTGAGGCGTGAGCCATAGTCACGGGGCGCGAGCCAAGTCAGTGGAATAAGGTGTGAGCCAAACAACCGGGTCTAAACAGCCCACCGGATTAATAGTCCACCAAAAACAAACCGGTCTAGAGCCGTTATATCTGCATAGTTGGGAAACTTAAATCCACGTTGGGAACCAACCGATAAATTCAGGTTGTGTCTTGAACGCCACTTCAAGAAACTAGTTGAGACTTAGCCACCCTTGGGGGAACGGGAATTGAATACTTTCGTGACAAATACGTTTACTCGTGGTTTCCTTGGACCTATACTTGTGTCCAAAAAAGACCCGAATCTCGTCAGTGCATCAAGGTCATTAAGGGAGTGTGTTGGTGTTGGAGTCTGTCTATTGTCGGTTTAGTCGTGCTTAATCTCACTTTGTGAGTTAGGTGTAACTCAGTCGTTCGATAGGGGGGATTTTGGCAGTTGCATATTTAGACCGTTGAACCTGAGCAACCCTTTCACCGTCTCTCTAGCTTTTTGGCTCTGTTTTTTTTCGGGATCCCTTGGTATACTGGTAGGCTACACCTATGTAAAAAATCTAAGGGATATGAGAAGAGGAAGCTTTTCAATCTGGTTGCCGGTCCATCAAACTCAGGGATTTTTGAAAGTGTCCATGTTCTGCAATCCCACCTCAGCCTGGACCTTCAGGAAAATTTGAGGGGTCGTATGTAAGTAATATAACACTTCTTCCCCCTCAGATTTTATTCTGGGGCGGGGCCATCGCACTCTGGAGGAAAGTGGGTGGTGAGCTGTCACGAAGAGTCACAGTAAATCAATTTGTCACGCTTTTGATTACTTCCCTCCAGAACGCGATGGCCCCGCCCCAGCAAAAAAAGTCTGAGGGTACGGAAGATACTATATTTTCTACATACGACCCCTCAAATTTTACCGGAGGTCCAGGTTGACGTGGGATCACAGAACATGGACACTTTCAAAAATCCTTCTGAGTTTGATGGACCGGCAACCAAATCAGAAAATC